GAGGGGGTTTTTAGGCTTTAGGGTTCAGGCAGGTGTAGGCTTTAGGGTTAAGGGGGGTTGAGAATTCAGGGTTCAGGGGGCGGGGATTTAGGGTTTAGGCGTAAGGGGGGGTTTCGGGTTTTAGGTTGGGCTTCAAAGGATAAGATTGACCGTTAGCAGAAAGGAAGCAACACAACAAAAAAACATCCGCCGGCCAAGAAAAAGCATTAACTATACCCACCCAAATGTTTGGTAGCGGCTGGAATAAAAAAAGGCATTACTGTGGCCCACCGGTTTAAACCGGACTCCGCATTACCGCCAAAACAAGCATGGCAGACAGAGACCACCCCTTGATAAAAAGGAAGGTGATAGGAATCACAGACAGCACAAAGCATCAGCCTACCAAAAAAGGGCACGACAAAGCATGCAAGGTATAAACTGGCATGGAACTTGACTGCCACAGAAGCACTCAGTGCCACTCGTTTGTGCTGAGGACATTTACAAACACTAAGACATTGTCTTGAAGGTTGGTGAGGTACTTCAGATCTCAAACGCTGATGTGTCGGTTTTCGTGTTGTCTCCGGCTGGGCTGGTCGACGGATCCCGGATGTCGCGTGTCTCCGTCTCTTGGTTGGTGTCCAGGTTCTCCCGCAGCGTATCTCTGCATGTTCGTTGTTTGGATGTGGGAAACCGCAGCCATCAAGTTGTCACAAGTAGCTGCGTTCAGGGGCAGCGGTCAATTCCTGATGCCGCTTGGGCTCTGCAGATTCCCCGAAGAATGCAAGCAGATGATACCAGATGGTTGCATGGGGTGCAGTCACGCAATGTTTCGAGCCGCAGCCTACAGCGCAACCTTTTACATTTGCAGGTGATACAGCAGAAAGAGTATCTCGGTGCCCGCAGCAGGGCCAGAAGGATATTCCGATATCCGATATGCTTCAGTTGACGCTTCTCTTTTCGAAGTGATGGCGCGGCCGCGGCCGTAGCGGACATGGCGTCTGCGGGTGTCCGCCTGAACCCCGCAGACCGAGAGCATGGCCTGGCCCTGTTAGGTCCGCCGCCTGGATGTGTTGAGTTTGCCCAGCTGCCTACTTCCCCTCATCCTGTTCTACTTGACAGCCTCAATGCCTGCACTTTGCAATCAGTGCTTGTCACGAAAGCTAGTGGAACTGGACTTGAGCTTAGGCTTGCTTTGACAGTAGGGCCGGACAAGGTCAGCAATATTGATGCCATCATCGGTCGGTGGAGCTGTATTGAATGGTTCTCGGGATTTCTGGGGGTGGACCACATCAATATGACTGCACAGGGAACAACGACCACAATGTCAGTAGCAACAGGGACGACACAAGATCCATGACAACAGCATGCTGCTTGCAAGCATGACAGCAGCCGCAAGAGCGACAGAACAGTATAACTGGCTTAGACACTGAGATCACTAAGGAGCACTTGAGCCTTCTCCCTTGCAGTTTGAGATAAGTCTTGGTCGGCTGCCCCCGCAAGCTGAGGCGAAAGCAACGGCCGACAAAAGGCACGTGAGGGGCGCACCTGCTGCCAGCGACGAGAGGCAGGCTGCCGAGATGCACGTCTGCTTTTGTACAGGCAAGGAGGAAGTCCGGGGGCCAATGGGCCCCGATCTCGGGAGAGTGCAAGGCAGACGATTGACGTCTCTCCGTGAAGCGAGTCATGTGGTTAGGTAGGTGTGAGAGCAACACATGGGGTTGTCAAGTCTGGCCGGTGGGCTTTCTGTGCCTGGAGCCCCAGAGTGACTTCACCCACTGCGAGAAAAGAACTATGGCCGACGCTAGGTCTGGAATGAGAGCGGTGGCAATCTTCGGGTCGGTCAGTTGCTTATATCGTGGCATTATGACAATCCTGCGGGTCTCCAGCACGGGCTTGGCATCGAACAAGCAGCTTCAGGCTGGTCATGCGCACAAGCAACCCTGAAACTAGGCTCGTCGTTCATGTTGACTGGCGCATCCGACATGGTTAGATTCTTTACTGCAGGCACTGACAAGTGGTCCTTCGGCTATGGTGGCACTGCAACGAAATCAAGTGCTGGACAGCCTAGGGCTTAAAACCTAAGGCCATGACAATGTTGTCTGCAGGCAACAGAATCCAGCTTGTGATTCCATGCAAGTCTCTGCCTGGTCAGTCCGAGGTTCACCAAGTATGGCCAAACATTTGGTCAAGCTGATGTCGTCCCCTCGGAAGCTTCAGTGCAGTCAGAGCCAAATCCCTGTAACCAGCTCTGGACTCCCATGGCTTGAAGCGGCTGACTGTCAGGCTTTGGCTCTGTTCATAGCTTAAGCAGTCAAGAGCCGAGCCATGGGATATATAACCTGAGCCTTGCTCAGTATGGCCATGGAGGTGTGCAGGCAGATTGGCATTGCTCTGCTTGCCCAGCGGCCCACCTGCTGCGGGCCATGGCCACCGTCGCGTGTCCGGGTGCACGGTCTACATGGATCTGCGGACATCAGCACGGTGTGGGCGGTGCACTGCTCCGCTGCATTTGCGGCACTATGCGGTGCTGCACGGCCCAGAAACTGGCGGCAGAAGCGACAGACTTGCAGAGTCAGAGCCTCCAGAACGTCCAGAGGCATGGAGGTGGTCCAAGATGGAACGCTCATGGGCGATCGGCCGAAGGTCCGCTACATGTGGCAAGTCCCACAGGCTGCATCGCCTGAGCTTGTGCTGGCGGGTCGCTCGAATGCAGGTAAAAGCACCCTGCTGAATGCGGTGTTGGCCGCAGCCGGAGCAAAGAAGGCCGCTCCGATGTCCTCCAAAGGTGGTCGAACTCGCACACTGAACTGGTATCCTATAGGCTTTAAGATTCCTTTGGGCTGGCACGGGGATGGTGTCCGGGTTTCGCAGCAAAGCGAGCAAAGCGAGGAGCAGAGTCTTGAAGACGAGCTGAGGGCAGCTGGCGAAGGCTGCTGTTTAGTGGATTGCTTTGGTCTTGGTGAGGTGGAATACTCGGATCTAAAGGCAAAGCGTCTGCAAACTTGGGGGCCCTTGTTACGGAAGTTTTTTTGCGAACGCTGTGCCTTGAAGACACTCTGCCACCTCATCAGCTCTGAGCAAGAAGGCCGGCTGTCACCGGGCGACGAACAGCTTGTGGACATTTTTCGGAGGAGCGAAGCAGACCGCTCTTCTTCGGGTCTTCCGCCGCTTCGCTATGTTGTAGTCTTAACCAAGACGGACTTGTACGAATCCTCGCAGGTGGCACAGTTTCAGGAAAAGCTGAGAGAGGCTCTGTTGGATCTTGGGCAGCCGCCCTCTGACATCGTGTCCTGTACTTCGCTCAGCACTGAGGGAATCAAGGATTTCCAGACAGTTGTCAATGAAGCAGTCAGGCGAGGGTGGGATCACCTGGACGAGTGGATCGCTGATGCGATGAAAACACGAAGACTTCCTCAGGGGAGAAACAAATACGAAAGGCAAAGTGCCAAAGCGGCCTACACATCCACGGCAAAGCAATCTGCCAGACAGCCCTCCCGCGGTGGCAAAGGAGCAAGTACAATGATGCCTCCATCAGTCTAGACTTATGAGCTCCTTTCCGAGGGTTTCGACCTGTTTCAACTGTGCGGGTCAGCCGCGCGGCTTGCGAGAAAATCAGGTGCGATCCGCGCAAGACCTGTGACACTGTCTGCTGTTCTCAGATGCATGTGACGCGACACCAGCACGAACTCCGGCACAGTAGTCGAGGCCATCACATGCTGTGTCGACTTGGACCGGCGAGCAATCACGTGCCCATAACTCTGCTGTCATTGCAAAGCAGAGACAACTCCTGGAGCAGGTACATGAAGAACGGACGAGAGATCCCTGGCGACGCGCCCCTGCTGCATTGAAAATACTCTGTTCGGCAACAAACCCTTTTGATCTGAGGCTTTCACTCTCAGCAAGGACTTGCATGGATGGGCCTTGTTCCCCCACGCTGCGAACTCATCGCGTAGGTTCGGGACCATGTAATCTCGCTGGAGCGAAGGTGTACACAAAGGAGGCAACGTTCTCCGTGTCTTTTGATGGACGTGGCGGAGTCGCGTGCTAAGCTCGAAGTTACTAGCCGAATATCCAAGCACGACTGAGCCTTCAGCCAGCTTCAGGCCCCACCTCTTGTTGGTGGATACCAGTGGCTCGCGGAAGCAGAGAAGGACCGCCCGATGTGTTTGCTGGGCTAGCACATGTGTCTTTGTTCTTCTGATAGGGCACTCTTTCGCCCAGCCCCAAGCAACCACGAGCCGGAGAGGGCCGGGACCTCAGCACAGTGTGCTCAAGACTGGGCTGAGCGGCACTCGACCGCAGGCGAAGAAGATCTAGAGGACGGGGTGAGTGGCCTCAGTCCAGTTGGTTTTGTGTGGCTGCCTTACGTCGGCATGCCGCCCAGGCTACGAGCACCTCTGGCGGCTTCGTGCTGACAGCATACGGATGGCGAAATGCTGCTGAAGTGGGCGTGCGAGAGCCTCGGATCATGTACACCGACATTTATGACGGTCAGTGCCTTGCTGCAATGATTCCGTGAGCTCTTTGCCACAGCACGTTTTAATTCAGCTCTTCGAGCAACCCTAAAACGGGGTTGTTCTTAGTTGTTCTTGGTTTTGTTGCGCCAAAGCAGCAGATGGCCTCTGGAGCTTATGCCCCGCTTACTCTATCTGCTGCACAGAGCCTGGATTGGATATGGTCCATAAGCTTGAAGGATATGCTGCTGTTTAAGCCTCACCGATTCACACAGCGGCACCATTGGAGGGACAGTGCGCTGAGACAAAGTCTGCAGTAGCGACAAAGCGAGGAGGTGGTGCATTTGCCAAGGACAGGGCCCAGCATGAACTGCTGCCAAATTCTGGCAGTGATCCTCGTGAATGTCCTTGCTCTCCCTCTTCAGATCTTGGCCTTGCCATTCCAACTGCTCTTTATTTTGCTCATGTAAGAGGCTCAGATGGAAGGTGTGTCGCGACAAGTGGCGGTTCAACGCGACGGTTCGGTTCAGTTCTGACGATACAGGTCTGTGAGGGAGTGGTCAACCAAGGCCACTGGTGAGCTTCTGCTCGGCACTCAGCTTAAGGAGGCGAGCTGCAGCCATTGATGGACGGGCAGAAGATCCGCTCGTTGCGCAAACCTGGGGATCATTGGAGGCCTGCCTTTGTTTGGAGGCCTTTTGCAGCGCGGTGCAGTGCAGCATCCGCCGGAATCCGCCACAGCCCTGATAGGAGCTCTTGTCTCGACCTGCGGTCAGTGTCGACCTCTCCGCGACATGGCCGATGGTATTGCTGGCAGCCCTACTGCTTCCAATGATCTTGGCACCTTGGCTTCTGCATCGCTGTCGAGGAAAAACCCGCTTCAAGGCTATGCATCTTGAGGTGAACAACTTGCTTGCCATCTGGATCCCGCCGTACTTTGCTCACATCGCCCGGATGGCAAAATGGCACCAGCTGTCTGCCACAGGCAGGTATCATTCGCCACCGAAACAGTGCCAGGGATAGATCCACGGTGTCAGGCTGTGGGAAGGTTCTCTTTTCCTGGTATTACTGGAACTGGCATCTCCTCTTCGGCACTCTGATCGCATACATGGGTCAGCGGCGTGTCAGCGTCTATGCCTTTGAAGGCAGGACATTTGCACGGGCTATGGAGCTGCCCAACAGTACACTGCAAGGGAGCACAAGACTTTATTTAGGTTTCATAAACGTGGGGCCCGAGTAACCTTACCTGCAGCTCCCAGATGCCCCAATGCCCCAGGAACTTCACACTTGTGTACTAATGCACGCCATTCTGCAACCGAGTCCCCGGGACCACCCGGTAAACTAGCCCACAGTGAAGCTGATGAAAAAGCGACGCATAGCGCGTTGATGCACCGTGCTGCCATGTGGTATCCATGCCAAACGAATTGCACGATCGTTTCCGCCGAGGTCTTGAAGTAAACCGCTACCGTATCGTGGCGACCAGTCACGGATGTAACATGTAGCGATATTTCCTTAAGACACCGTGGGGAGCTGCAAGCTAATTCGGCTCGAACGTGGGGTGCTCCGATATTCTCAAGCCAGGAGTTTTTAACGGCATTGGCGAGCTTTCTGAAACATGTTGGCCTTCTGCACCGGTTAAATCCACGCCATGCGGCAAACGACATCTTGCAACACAAATCTTGCACAGGTGAGGCGCAAGGTGGTGGTGACTATTGGTGGCATGGACAAGGCAGGTGTTTCGCCCGCTCGACAGTTGGCACCGACGCAGTTTATCTTGGCTCCTGGCAGGCTACTTTACTGGGACGCACGCTCTGGTTGATCAACTCGCCTCATGCCTTCAAAGAGCTTGCCGGATGGGCTCATAGGAGGTGAATTCGAGGTTTCTTACTCAAGCGGGGTGGGGCCACAGACATTGTTTCTTTGCGCTTCTCTTTCAGGCACTGAAGCTTCCCTGAACAAAAGTGTTCTGCTGACTAAGGCGCATAAGGTACATGAGTATTAGCAGGGCGGAGAAAGATTGGACCCACAGAGACTGCAGCAGATTCGCTTGAACATTTTCCAAGGCTATGGGTGTGCAAGATCGTGGATTAGGACGCGCCGCCTTCGATGCGGTGGTTCCAGAAGTCTTCCCGCTCGACTCGATCATATTTCTTCCCAACAGCCATGAGGACGGGTTGCATTTCATTTGCGCGATTTCACTCCCCGCTCAACTTGCACATATCTGACCAAAGGCGACCTCCAAGTGGGCTGAAGACAGGAAAGTCATGCACGACTTCTGGCTTTCAGCAACTTGATTACACAGAACATGCTGGTCAATTCGCGCGACAGTCTCGGTCTTGCCCTCCCCGGCTGAGCGGGCTAGGTGTCATGCTGTACTCGTGGATTGAGAGCACTGGGGTGGAGACGACATGTTTTTGTCTGCTTTACATTCTCCTCCGCGTTACGGCAGTTCTGCTTTTTGCTCTAACTCTCGCTAGGGTCCTTGGCTCCTGCTATCTTCTGCTTTGCGGTTGTGCGGCAGATTGAGAGCTTGTGCCAAGGAACAAGGCCCAAACTATGCGCAGCGGGTCGGGCACTTGAAGGACACTCTCGTGAGACTGGGTCGTCAATATTGCGAAATGTTTTTGATTGCTCCCCGCATGCCGCAGGGACTCGTCAAAGAAAGCTGGAGCAATCCCAGCTTGGACAATTTGGCTAACATCAAGGTCAGATCAAGCATGAGGCCTGAGTAGGGGGAGGATTCTAGAAGTGTTGTGCCAGGTAGCATCGGTCTTGGTGTCTCGGTGCGTGTTCTATGTCTTCTTCGGCCATTGGCTGACAGACGAAGAGGCACCGTGACGTGCAGGTTTGTTTTCACAGACCGCTTCAACATCCTCGGCAGTTCTAGCATGGACGTTGCAGCAGCGAGTGCTTGCTGAGCCACATCGGCCTTGTGCAGGCCAGTGTCATGAGCCGTTGGGCCCGCGATGCACCACTGCTTGTCACGCCACGGTTCATACACCGGTGGCCCAGCTGCAGATGAGCCCACGAAAGGATTTGTGATTACAGCTTTTGCAAGCTTCGTCCCACTCCTGTTCTTGTCTCAGAGTCTAGAGGCTCATTGCCGTCAGCATCACAGGTTGGCGTTCAACTTCTTCGTGCACCAGTGCAAGGACTTGCGTGCAGAGACCATCGCGCTGATCAGCAAGCATAAGCTTGGGCATCTGTGCTGGAAAGCAGTTTGCGAGAGGATCTAGGAAAGGGTTCCTTGCGTAGTGGCTCTCCAGCGACCGAGATGCAGGCACGTCTTCAGCACCATGAACTCAACCTTCTCTTCCGCCAACCGTCGCAAGTACGACGTCGACCTTTGCAATGAGCTGATGTTCGTTATTGGTTTTGCAGGGATCGGCGGGCCTAGTCGTGCTGCGGCTTCGGTGGCGAAGTGCCTCGCATGCATTGCCTTGAGAAGAGACCCTTGTTGGTCATTGAGAAGTGGTGTAGCTGTGTAGCCCTGGATGGAGCTGAGGTTCCTGCTGGCAAAACAGTCGGAAGACCAGGCTGGTGTAACCTTCGGCGGGGCAAACAGCCACTCGATGATCGCCTTGTACAAGAAGGACCCCAAGGCCTTCATCATGGAGACGTGCCGAATTTCATCTCCAGTGGGAACCTTCACCACCCGGCTGACCGCAAGCGCTGCGAAAGAGCTCGGGCTAGGCCTGGACCTAGGCAAAGCCCAGGAGACGCATTTGGCGGGAGTGATCAACGTTTCGAACGTGGATCCTAGGAAGTTCCCGGAGCCTTACAAATTTGACCCTGCACGGCCAAACTTGCCGGATGCACTTACATGGAATGGAAAGGCTTTCAGTTCCAGAGAATGCGATTACCCTCGCCTTTGCCCCGGGCGAGATTTGAGCATACAGATCGTGAAAACTCTTGCAGAGGTAGCATTGGAGGGAACAGGAAGTTAGAGCCAGGAGCACAAGGTCTCCAAGGTCTGATCCTGTGACCTTGCCGTCGATGCGCCGCAATGCCAAAATGCTCCCAACACATCTGGAAAGCTTGTAGCAAGAGCTCTGTGATGCGATGGGAGCTCTGCTTTTCTCTACTGCTTTCGAAGTCCTCAAATCTGAGATTCACGAGGTATTATTGTGCCCCAGTGGCTGTGAGTGCATGAACCCGGTAGTCCAGGTCCCCAGCGTCACAGGACAGGCTGCCTGCATACCTGTTTGAGCCGTTGTTTCTTTCTGTGCAGCAGGAATGGAGAGGTGCTCTGGATGCGTATGCTAGTCCCTCAGGAAATAACATTAGTTCTACGCGAGGCCGAACGCAGCAAAGTTCGAGAGTGTTGTCGCGAGGTGAAGCACTTCACGTCACTCTTGGAGCCATGAGCTCAGGGCGGAATCGCTGGCTGACACTCAGAGCCCAGCTGCAAAAAGGGGGTGATTCTGTAGAGCCAGCCATGGTACAAGCCAAGAAGAGCAAGTGACGGAAGTGCTTGTGGGCTTCTGGATGGTTTTGGCTTGGGATCCGGCCTTGAAGGCCGCAAGGGGCCACCCCTGCCCTCCCTCCCCCCCCACACACACACAAACGGCATCATTCCCTTTGAGATCCCCAGGTTGGAATACGAGGCTGAAAAGGAAGCTGTTCTGGAGCGTGTGGGGAGCTTACGGCAGCTGCCCTGAGTGTTCAGTTGCATGCGACGAGCGTGGTCAGGTCCACAAGAGGAGTGCAAACCAACTTGTAGCAGATGGAACAGGGGTGGATGCCCCGCAAAAGCCGAAGCTCGGTTAGATCAAGCTTCAGCCTCCGGTGCGCAGATCGTTGGCCTTGGGGCCGAGTTCGACCGAAATGCCGGGAGGATAACGCATCGGCCCTAGTTCATTTTGAGGACTTCCTTGTCATGGCCTGCTGCCTCTCACGAGGCTCTACTGGGAGTACGGTCATTTGCTCAGGCCTCAGGCCACGCACCTGAAACGTTCACAGACATCTTCAGAACAGTTCAGCAAGGCCTTACTTGAGCGAAATCTCCAGAGGAACGGGGAAAGCTACGCAAAAGGAGATTGGAAAAGTATTGGTTTCCCTGGCAGGACGCACTGTGCTCATTAGCACGGTGGATGGTGGAGTCGACGTTGAGGATGCCTCCAAGACCATCTCTGGGGAAGCGGGGGACACAGCAAACGGCAGTGTTTGCTGGGGTCCTGCATGCACGTTGGCCACCAGAAGCCGATGGATGCCAGAGCAAGGTGACCTATGTATATTCACACATCGAATCTGCACAGCTGTCTGTGATGCTCCTACACATTCGGGGGAGCCTGAGTTACTGCTAATCAGCATCCAATGTCGTTCGCCGGTTTGCGACAGGGACCGCCCAGAATCGGATCGATTTTGCGGAACTGCCGTGCAACGTATCCACGTGCTTCGCTACTGTGCCCAGACAATCTGCGGAACACGAACCCTGCCAGCCCAGAGGCCGAAGGTACCAGCTGCAGAGTTTCTGAAACAAAGGTGGAGAGCGTCTCCAGTGACTGCATGGTCGTTGTTACCCAGCATCTAGACGGCAAGTTCTCGTTTGCTGTCCATCCAGCGTCATCCTCGCATTCCGTGAGGTACGAGAGGCTGCCTGCCGGCAGGCCGGGCATAACTGTGGTGCAGTGCAGATGAACGGGATTCCCAGAGACCCCAAGTAGTCTGAGTTGAGGCGAGGTGGTCGGAACCATCTTTTCCGCAGGGGCCATTCTCACTCCACTCAGTTCTGTGGCCGGGTCGAACACATGATGCCCCGCTTTCGCATGCCAAGGCGCAGACCTTGGCCCGAACATCGTGGCATACAAGCGTCCCTGCCTTGTTACTTGTTACACGCAAGGCATGCCTGTTTGTACGCTTGGTTTTACTCCTTGCGACAGTCGAAGAGGAAGATGCCTAAAGGGCCTAAAGCCTTGACGCAAGTTGGTGATTTCTGACCATGCTCAATATTTGTCTGCTCAAGCTAAAGCCGCAAGAGGAGAGGCGCCGGAACCCGAGCATATGTGTCAGAGCAGACCGCACCGGGGCAACACCTGTTGGGACGAGCTGCTTTCGATTCATTTTCGAGCACTGCTTCCGACGTCACGTCTTAAGGCCAGCCATGGTTCGCAGATGCCGGCATTGGCTGCTGGCTGTGCTGCCGCTGCAATGCCACTTGTATCTCATAGCGGGCCGAAACGGCGCACATGACCAGGGACATTCGGCAGATTTTGGCCTTGCTCGGGCGACCCTTCAGGTCCGGGGCTGTTCTTTGAGCTCAAAGCGAAGAGTGCTGGGCCAGCGGCATCTCGTCAGGAATTCTGCTTGCGGTTTCTTTTGAAGGACGTACTCGTCATCTCAGGAGTGCTTCAAGGCGACTCCCGGGCATGGGCACAGCGTACATGGAAGCTACGAAGCAGATGGGCCGAACGAGGGGGTCCTGGTCACCTTGACCAGCGGCTCCGGCAAGGACCGCAGCTCAATCAGGTTATCCACCCACTGTCAGCTCTTCCACATGCACACTGGTAGCCCGATGTAGGAACTCTTCCGAAATGCCATGGGCCGAGCTGCAAAATGTGTTGTGGACTGCCTGCCTTTACCCTCGATGCCAGCCTTTTACAAGGCCAACCCGTCGGGTCGCTTCAGCATCGAGGTCACCATGCGAGGGGCTGCGACGACAGGCACGCACCATGCCCGCTTGACTTTGTCAGGTGATGGAGGAGCTTCCGCATAAGCTCTGTTTCGAGAGCTCCGTGGAAGAAAGTCAGATGGTGCCTGGCCCCAATCAAGAAGTGTTAAGCAGGGGTGGGGAGGGGGGGGGGGGGGGNNGGGGGGGGGGGGGGGGGGGGGTTGAACCACGTTTCACCTTTGTCAGGTAAGCTTCAACTTCCACGTGGATGAGCACGGAGACGGTCGGCTGCTTCGCCGCGTCAGTCCATGACATTGATTAGTTGTCCTTCACCTGAGGTACCGACCACCACGACAAAGAGCACATGGAGTATGTGACAAAAGAGCACACAGACAAGGTTGAGGAGCCGAGCTGATTCAACTTTGCTTGGTCATGTCGGTGCGGATAGTGCTTGCGGCACGGGCGTTGCCGCGCCTGTCAGCAGGGCTCACTGAGGCGTTGCATCGGAGAATCGTGTCCAGTGGAGCTGTATACATTTTTGCGGTGGGCTTTGAAGCGTGGCGCGTTGCTGAAGACCCGCAGGGTCATGCGGACTGTCTCATAGATCTAAAATTCAACCAGAATCCATCGCCATCAACCGCCAAGAGTCCGGATGTCGGGTCGCCGCTCGGCTGGTTGGTTTGGCTCTTTGGTAAATCTCTGCAATCCAAGAAATGCCTCTTCTGTTCTCTTCCTCTATCCTGGTGGAATCTGGTAGTGCATGGCGAGTGGAGGAAGCGCCTTTCCGCACGCACGGCACTACGGTGGATAAGCTTTGGCTTCGGCAGCGGCCGTGGACCAGTTTAGGGGACGACTCGTGACAGGAGCTGGTCGCCAAGCTGGAGGCAAAAGCCAATGACATCCTTGACCAGCAGCAGTATGCCATCACCCGTGAGGCAGCTTCGACCGTAATGTGTTGGAGTTAACCAAAACGTGTCGCAAGCTGCAAAGATCTGCGAAGGCAGTGCACCGAGAGACAGCTGAATCCACCAACGCACGCGTGATGTGGTGGACCCTTGCAGAAGTGGTGGCTCGTCTTGAATGAGATCATTCGACTGAAAGGGTCCTCTCGGAGTAGAGCTGCATTTCGTCAGACTGCGAGTGGTACGCACACTGCCGAAAGCAAAAATCAGCCTCACAACCTTGTTCGAAAGCGCTGCGTCAGCACTCGACTGAGGCTGTCCTGATCAGCCTGGCTGCCTTTCAGGTCTACTACCTCCGGTCATACTTTGAGGTGAAGCAGATAGTGTAGCACGGAACTGGCTTTTGCTTTTGCAAAGTGCGTGAACCGTCTGTACATCCGCCTGCAAGAGGCAGGCTCATCTGCGGGGTCTGGGTCTCGATAAGACAAGCAACTCAAAAATTGGGACCAGTGCGTTCACTTAGACCCAGAACTAAAGTGGCAGCGCTAACACGGTGCACGGGCACGATCTAGCAGCACGTCCTAGAGAACGTGCACGAGAAGCTCCCTGACGCGCAGGCCTTCATCCCAGGCTAGCTTGTGTCTTACACTAACTGCTTCAGACCGAACCATACATTGTCTGGGGCCTGGATGTGTCTGTCGTCAGTGCCTACACGGCTGTGATCCGCATGTGGAGTCAAAAGCCGGCGCAAACTTTTGAGAGACTTCATTTTCGCCGACACCAGCTGCAGCGGGCACAAGATCAGCACGTCATCTGAGGCATCGATACCATGCTTGACGAGCTGCAAAGATGCACGGGGCTGGACTGATTGGCGTCTCTGCTGCCTGTCCCCGTCTGCGTGTGTGTGTGTGTGTGTGTGTGTGTGTGTGTGTGTGTGTGTGTGTGTGTTCTTCTATTGGTCAGTGAGCACTACGCCGCACTCGCGCCGCAGCCCCGATAGGCCCTAGAGCATGGCAAGGCAGTTCATGAACAGATCGATCATCCAGCTCGTGTTTTCTGTTGTCAGAATTGTGACTCAGCACGGCACTGTCAGAGCGCAGTTCGTCTGGTCGCCGGTACGTACAGTAGGCAAGCAGAGATTCAGCCAACAGCTCGTCAGTAGCCGTGTAGCCGCTGACACATGATACATGGCATGCAATGCGGCACGAAGTGTGCATCAATGCCTGCAGCAACTCGAACTGGCTCTGTTTTATGTCGCTGGGCAGGCATTTCGAAGGAGATGCAACACTTCGTGACATAGACACAGAAGGCAGAGACAACGAAGGCTTCTATTCACTTGTTTCATGTTTTCTGCATCACTGATAACTGCACGCACTGATTACAGCATAAACCAACGGCCACCAATTGAATCAAAACCGCACAGCATGATCGGGGAATACCCCCCGATCTGAAGGCACTGATGTGCGATGGAGAGCTTATGATACGTATGTCGTCTTGTGTTCCTGCCAAGGATGGCCCCAGCATCAGCGCCCTGCAGGTATCCGCAAAATCTCTTCGAACAGCAATGCAACAAGGTCTGCTGGAGGCCAGGCAGGTGCCCATATGCACGCTCCTGCAGTGTCGGGTCCGAACGCGATGATCAGCACTTCCCAGGTTTTCTGCCGATTTGTGAGCCACCCTGTCTCTGGACACAATCTGACGGGGGCCATTTGGAAATTGGCACATCTTGCACCGAAGGGAAATTCCAAAGCATGTGCAGTCATCAGCTGCCTCGCTTAATGATGCGTGTGCAGAGTATTACCTTGCATTGTCTTGGGACCGATCACCACTTGGGCTTGCGTGTGTTGAGGTGCTCGCCTTCGTCATCGACGCTGCTGCGTGCGAGAAGCGGCTGTTCTGGCTTTGGGACACATGGCACATTCCGATCTCGTGCCGAGGACCTCAGGAGCATCCAAAATGCATCGGAAAGGATCTCTGTGATTCAATCAGAAATCGTCAGGATACGAGACTGTCTCTCAGATGGCCAAGGGCGGGTTCGTGCCTCTGCCGCCTGGGCACTGTCTCAGCTGACGGAGCAAGGAGAAGCTTCGTCTGCAAGCCGCCAGAGGCCGCACATGGCCGCACATGTCACAACACGCGCCTCAGCTCCGCACGAGCTTCATGCACTTTCGACTTAGTTGCACTCCGCTTGTGACTTAGGATTTGGAAACACTCCGAGCGACAATGATCTTGCTTGGTGATGAGTCTATTGATGCCTGCAGAGCCGCAGTTCAGTGCATTGTTACAGTCGCACGACAAGGGGACGAAACCGTCACTCGCCAGCTCACCGAACTGCTTGGAAGCGGATGTGCGACAACCCGCTGGGCAGCAGTGGAGACACTGTCCCGCATCACGCTTAAGGGCAATCCTGCCGTGGTTGCCAGCCTCGTCCCATGCCTTGAAGATCCCGACCCGGAGATCCGAACGTCAGCAGTTGATGCGCTGCGGCGGGTTTCGAGCTCAGACGTCCGATGGTCGTGTGAAGATATGAGGCCGAGCCCGATCGTGTGCATGCGTAAGGTAGCAAATCACGGTGACCCGGTGGCAGTCCAGGGTGCATTGCAGCGCTTAGACCACCGAGATGGCTCTATACGAGCTGCCGCATTGCGGACGATGTCGTGGGTGGCCGAAGTGGGCGATGCAGCGGCCATCACCAAGGCTCCGGCAATTTACCTACGGCTTCTGCTGATTCCGTATGAATTTGTTTGTATATAAATTCACCGTGCCTCAGGCCAAAGGTTGCCTGGATGATGGAGTGTCGAACGTTCGTGCTGCTGCTGTTGAGACGCTGGCAAAGCTGACGCCATCCAAGGGTGACGTCGAGGCAGGCCGAATGTTGCAGCAGTGTGCCGTCGTGTGCCAGGAGGTGTAAGGGGGAATGGCTCAACGAAGGTCATCTCCTGCGTGGTTGCGCGCTTGGAAGACGGCGAGTCTTTCGTTCGCACTGCTGCCATGGAAAGCCTGGTCAAGGCAGCTGACAGCAATCTTGAGCACTTTGAAAAACAGGGCGCACGTGGATCGGAGTGCTCGGAGGTCGCCGACGAGGGTGACATGACAGCTATGCCAGCCCTCTTGTCTCTGTTGGAGCATCAGGACAACACAGCAATGCTTGAGCAAGTTGAGCGGTCTTCTCTTCCCCTCGACGATCGTGGGCCAGGACGGGCGTGTTCGGTTGGCAGCAGTGGAAGCTCTCGGGTGCCTTGCACTGAAACCTTGAACCGCTCAGTCATCGAGAGTGCCAATGAGCGCCGAGGCAGCTGGCCCCGAAAGGGGATGAAGCCGTTCTTGCTGCCGTTTCAGAGCTACTGGAAGACCGCCACACCGGCGTCTGCTGCACGGCGGTTCAGGCACAGAGCTTGAGAGTCTGGCATGTCCCTTGGAGTGTTCCTTTTTTTCACATCAGGTTTTGGCGCACTTGTCCAGCAAGAGCGAGGAGGCTTGTGCAGCCATACGTGCAAGACTTGAGGATGTTGCAGGAGAGGCTCTGCGAGCAGCTGCTGCCTATGCTTTGGGTGACCAGTTGGACCTCAAACAGGAGATCCCGCTGGGCTGATACGCAGGAATCTGGCAGCCTGCCGGGAGCCAATTGCGGACCCGCTGCAAACCATTCAAGCGCCAACGACGGTATCCGCGACATGGACCCTCCAAGTCGATCATTACGGCCGTTTTGCCTGTGCTGGCGCTGGCAAAGCATGTACAGACTGTACAGGCAGGTTGTACTCAACGCTGCTGACCAATTCTCGATTCGCCATCTCGTTCTTGAGTGTGCAGCTGCGGTTCGTTCTGATCTCGATGCGGCTCATGCGATTGAATCCAGCAGTGCAGCCAGAAAGCTTCTGCAAAGCCTCCTAGTGCCAGCTTCGGGGGAAAGCCGAGGTCTTGGCACATTTCAGGCAGCAAAGGCGAAGAATGCAATCGTCGCTTCGGCGCAATTCTTCGCTGTGTGCCAGCGCAGCGCCTTGCACCGGGGCCGCCTGCCAGGAGCGGCTGAATCAAAATCAGAATCTCTCCGGGCTTCTGCAGCATCCTCGGAAGTGAAAGCTGCGACTTTTCGTATGCTTTTTGTGCTCAACTTGCTCCCCTAGGCTTCCGGGCACTCCATTTGCAAGCTGCTTGGCTGCAAAGCTGCAAGCCTTTCCTGCGAGAGAAGGTAGGAGAAGTGTGTGAGACAGAAAGCCAGAGGGAGAAAGAGAAAGAGCCAGAGAGAGAGAGAGAGAGAAAGAGAGACAGAGCATGGCGAAAGAAAGAAAGAAAGAAAGAAAGAAAAAGAGAGAGAGAGAGAGAGTGTACCCCCAAAGGGGCTGTAGCCCCCCCGAAGTCTTTTACTTCACCTTTGAAAGGGGCTTTGCCCCCTGCATGATGGACGGACCTTTCTGTGCGATCTGGGGGCAACCCCTTCAATCCACTCGATTGCACTTTCCCTCTTTTGCTTCTTTCACTATTGGCACCCGCAAATGGCGGGGGCGCACCTGCGCGCGGTGTAGGGGGTCTCCCCCTGCACCACAACCCTGTGGAAAGAAAGTGTACCCTGAGCAAAGCAAAGCAGAGAGAGAGAGAGAGAGAGAGAGAGTGTGTGTGTGTGTCACGCAAGCAAGCAAGCAAGTGTGTGTGTGTGTGTGTGCGTGTGTGTGCACGCATGCGCTTTCTGCTTGTGCTACCGGTACATGTCTGCTTTCTCCCGAGCGGTTCAAGGCCTCTGCCTGTATGCAATACATTTGCTTATGTAGTGGCCGTTGGCTGCTCCTGCTCAGAATCGTCGTAGAGTCGCTGCAATGGGCCTGCCCTAGCGTGTCAGCATCGTGCAGGGCTCAGATTTGTGAGTCATCTTCACATAACACCTGGATCACATGAGACTTGGAGTTTCTGCCTCGATGGGTGATGCAGTCGTCCATGAAATGGGCAGCTTGTCGGTAGAAAACATGAGGGTCAACTGCCTGACTGCGCAGCATTTGTCTCGCTCGGTGTCGGAGACTCCACCGCCGTAGTGAGCTTGCGTGCGCAATGCCTTCGAAAGCGAAGGTGGCGATCGCTTCGGGTGCCGCATCAGCAATGCTCCTTGCTCCTGGCTTCGTGACCACTCCAGGGGTGCCCAGGGCCCTGGAACAAAGGAGTGCCGCTGCTGCCCCTCAGATCGCCGGCGCTCAAAGCCAAAGTGCACCTTGGGGCAAGGCCGCACTGGCCACTGGGCTTTTGCTTGGCTCCGTGCAGATGTCGGGGCGAAGGCAGGCCCGAAAGGCCCGGGCCAGAGTTGCTGCTTCAGCGGCGAAGGTCGACACGGTCGGCATCATTGGTTGCTCCGGTGCTGTGGGAAAGGAGATGCTGGAATGCCTGGAGAATCGAAAATTCCCCACGGACAAAGTAAGGCTTTTCGGCAACAGCTCCGCGGGAACAAAGGTTTCTTCCTCTTCCTTTGGCGAGATTACGGTGGAGAAGTTTTCACTTGAAGCCGCGCAAGAGTGTGAGATCTGTCTCATGGCCGTGTCGGGCGACTTCTCTCTGGAATGGGGGCCTAAGAGATTTGTCAGCATTTATACGCAGGCGTAGTTTCAAGTTGCTGCGTGCAGGGCTCAAACTGCTTGAAGATGTGCTTCTGATCCCAGCATATCTCAGCATGCAACTGTGCATGTGCAGCACCATGAAAATCAAGGATTGCTGGTGGACCCAAGAACACGCAGGTCATTGACAACTCATCTGCATGGAGGTACGACAAGGACTGGCTGAGAGAAGCTATTTTTGCTTCTTGGTATTGGACGGGTAATTAGGAGCCTCGTCTCTGAAACATGCAGGACAAGCCACTGGTAATTCCGGAGATCAACGGAAAGGGCCAGGTGGATGCACCACTCATAGCCAACCCGAACTGCACAACCGCGGTGGGTGCCATGGCGCTGTGGCCCATCCATCAGAAGTACAAGCTGAAAAAGGCCACCGGTCAATGTGATCGATCATGTGACGGTTGTTCACGTGATATTATAGCGAAAGTGCAACGTATGGCACAATGATGTCAGGTGCTGATGTCAACCTATCAAGCGGCCAGCGGTGCCGGAGCTCCTGGCATGGCCGAGCTGGAGGATGGTGTCACGGCGGCCATGGGGTTGGATCCTCCCAAAACACGGCTAGAAAATGCTAAGCCAAGGGTCAAAACTGAGGCCTCGCGACCTGGGTGAAGGATGGAGCTGTACCGGAGCCTAAGTTCTTTGCCCACCAGTTGCCCTTCAACGCCCGTGACTTGGAACGTCGCCGCGCAGCACCTGTCTCCTTGGAGCATGTTTGCTAGTGATTTCCAGGTCATTCCCCAGATCGACAAGTTCCAAGAGAACGGCTACACCAAGGAAGAGATGAAGGCGGCCGAGAGTCTGTGCATGATCGTGCATGCAGTTGCGAGTGCAAGCTGCCTAAAGCAAGAGGGCCTTGTAGAGGTCACTTGGGAGCTGCAGAAGATCTTCGGCTTGGACGACGATGTGAAAGTTTCCTGCACTGCCGTTCGAGTCCCGACGCTCAGGGCACACTCCGAGACCATCGTCGTGGAGACCGAGGAGCCCATTTCGCCTGATGATGTGCGCAAGCTGCTCGAGTCTTCTGAGGGTGTGAAGGTCGTAGATGACCCGGAGGCCTTGAAGTACCCCATGCCACTGAGCCCTTGCAGCTTCGAGTACGGCTTTCAATGTCAAGAAACTAGAAGTGCAAGTAGGCTTGGTCGGGGCAGCACCATTTATTTTACACTCAGGAACACACATAGCGATATCGAATCAAAGGTATGTCAGTATTTAAGCTGTCGAGTTGCGATGGTTTACAAATACTTACATGTGCACAGGTGCCTGCTAGTACCAAGCTCTGAACCTGAGCGACTTGAGCATACGCTCAACTGTGTAATGTTGGGATGACACGGAGTAAGTGGGAACGTAGTGTGTTTCTTTGTCTACGCGATGGTCAACTGTTTCTATTCTTACCAATAAATATTAATGATTTCGGCCAATACTCGTAGCTATAATCCTTACCGTGTACCTACCTGCGAAAACAGACGTAGTAATCCTTGGGGGCCAACATGACTATGGCAGTGCAAGCTATAACTATGCCACTGTATGATGTGGCACCAGTACGACGACGATATCCCGGAAAGAAACGAATGAGCAGAAAAGAACCAAGGAACGCAACTGGCCACTACGATGTGGAAGTCGGCCGAATCCGGCAGAGCATCGTATTTGGGGACCACGGCATTGAGTTCTTCGTTTCTGGTGACCAACTCCTCCGAGGAGCAGCGCTGAATGCGGTCATCATTGCTGAGGACGCAGTCAAAGCGCGCCGAGGCTGAAATCTCTCTTTATCAAAAAAAGGGAATGGTCGGCCCATGATTGTGGCCGGTACTTTCTCGCAAGTTTTGCATCCCTGCATTAGGGAGCAGTGCGGATACCAAGGCCTGCTAGCATAGGCCTACTAATCTCTTGCACGCTTGCCGTTTGCAGTCCACCGCAGGCTGCTGGCTTGCTGATTTTGAGTTTCGCCAGCTCAAGAAAAAGCAGCGCATCCTTTCTTAACTGTGCCACGTTCCGCCGAGCTCTTCGGAAAGGCATTTCCTTATCGTTTGGCAGCTGAGGCCAAATGATGCCGATGTGTGAGGCCGGAGCTTGGGGTTCCGTCGCTGACCGCTCTCCCGGCAAGAAGCAGGTCAGGGTAGCGGCTCCAAATACTAAATGTGGCCTCTCGAGCGAACAGAAGCTTCGGAGTCCCGAGAGGAAAAAGGGGCATATCGTGCACTGACCATCTCACCTTGAGGGTCTGGCTTTTGGATCTCTTTAGACTCCTCAGCATTGCGATTGACAACTAAGATGCGCTCTACGCCGACATCTCCGAATCCTCTGCAGCTGCTTCGAAATGGGTCGCGCCTGCCATCCATTGAGAGGGGACCATAATTCGAAGGGTCGAAGGTGCATGTCACTGTGGAACATGTACTTATGAGCAAGCGATTGCTACGTTTCTCTGGCTGCCAGGACCCTCTACAGCGGCCGAAGCCGAATGCCGAGGTCCGCATCTTGCGAACTTTGACAAAGATGCCAGCCTGGGTCAAGCAAGGACATCAGACATCAGCTTGATTTTTGAGGCTGATATCAGCCAAGCCTCACGTGAACAAGATGTGGGAACGGCCACGTGAGCCCGCAAGAACTCGAGTATTGGGGACAGCCATCAGGGTCCTTGAGGCGGGACGAGCGTCTCAAGAGAATCATCAGGTACACGACCAAAGGGCCCACCCCAGACGAAGACCAAAGCTGCGCGCTTGAACTGGGGCTCAAAAGTTCTCTCGGACAGCTTGGCGGTTCACAATGCGAGGTCTGAAGCTGAACCGCTCACAGGAGGCAGCCCTTCGGCTGGTTCTTGAAAGGCAGCATTTGGCTTGTTCCTGTTAGCTCTCTGCTTTGAAGGGCGGTGTTCAGTTCATGCTGCCTTCGTTGCAAGAGGCGCCGGCGATTCAGTCTTGTCCAGGGACCACCAGGCTCGAGTGTCTGAGTGGCTCTGAGTTGACAGCATCGAAGTGCAACAACATCTTCTCATGCCCTCTGGCAGGCACCGGCAAGACAACGACTGCAGTGTCCATCATCTGTGGGTGGCTGAGGACGTGGATCCACCAGCAGGAAGCACATCAGCTTGGCATGCATATCGAACGTGAAGGACGCGAAGAGGCCCAGTTTTGGCAAGCGCTTTCAGCAACCGCGGGACAGACAACTTGGCGGAGGCATTGGGGGATACACGACTCGCCTCTTGAGCTGCTGGAAAAGCCATTTGGCCTCGAGCGCAGGTGTTGCACAACCTGGGAGTGCGGGTTTTGAGGCTTGCCGAGCCGTTTGACTTCTGAGAAGCGCTTGCTTCAGACCTGGTACACTTTGTTTCTCCATGTTTCTTCCTTGAGTGGCTGGTTTCGTGCCTGTCTGTCTGCCCCATCCGAATCCGCTACTGTAAAGGTGAAGCACTCGTCGACACAGCGTGCAGCCGGTCCGTTGATGTGTCCTTCCTTCTTTGTCGGAATCGACGCAAGGAATCCATCCGTGCCGAATCATTAGTTAGAAGGACTAGATCAAGGACTTGGCTCAGCTGTCTGCATCCTCCCAGTGTTTCCAGTTGAGAGCCTGTTTCGTCGAACCTGCCAGAGACATGTCTCCGTTCGACGTTTCACAGGGTGGGCCTGTGTCCCCAAGACCGACCATACTCGTCTTGAGCCTACTTTGCACGGTGGGTGAAGTGTTTTTTTTTCCAGTTCAGCTTGCAGTTTTCCCTGTGCAAGGTTCGAGACGCGCCTGCGGGAGTGTGGCAAGCAGCTGCGAGCTTGGTGATGTTGGGGTTCCCTGAGAGTCATCTCCATTCAAGCTTCACCCAGGCGCGGTGATGCAGGAATGCGCCATGCTCCCGACTCGGCCAGGGTGTATTTCGGAGACAAGCTGACTTGCAAGCCTGTTTGCTTCATGCTGAGGTCATGGAAACTATAGATGCCGTGACCTGAAGCACTAAACTCGTGCGCCAGAGTATTGTTCACATGTAATTATATGCGCGACTCTTCTGTCATCTGTCTGCGTACGTACAGAACGCTGGCCCAAGTCAGTGTGTGCATGCGCTTGGCCCTGCAGTGTAAAGTTAGCCAAACGGGCTCTGGATCTAGTGACGCGGCATAATAATGAGGCTACGCTGGCTGCAGATTCTACAGATATGACTGTAGCCTGTATGAGTTGAATAATGCACTTGTAAAGTTACATGATCGGATTGACTGCCAGGGCCTGACAGGCTGCCTCTAATGGCTTGGGACCCCTTCGCTGACCCAGCCGATGACCTTGGCTCCTTCTGTCCGAAGGACATGGACAACTTTCAAGCTTATGCATTGAAGCCTGTAGCTTATGCAGCTTGCCTTATAGAAATTGAAAGCAGCTGTTGATCGGCTGTGCTACAACTCGTTCGGCTGAGTTTCTGTGTATCATGGCTCTTTGCACGTGGCTGGCGCAGGACGCCACCAAGCAGTTTGCTTCCGGTGTAGACTCCGAAGACCTGTGCACTGGGCAGCTGCTCTGCCGGAGCATTTGCAGCTGCAGTGTGCCTCTCAGGCCCCTTCGCTACCGCATGCCACCGCAAGGCTGGACTTGGTAGCCGATCTTCAGAGCGATGATGACAAGCCAGAGCCAGAATTCCATTGGATAGAGTCTTGGCAAGGAGTCGAAGTGGGATTTCAGAATATTTCAGAGAGGGCGCAGAGCGGGAGAGAAGTGAGAAGGGATCAGGTTTCGAGTTCGGGATGAAGGCAGGGATCAGGTGGGACAGGTCAGGCAGTGCAGATGAAGAGGTCGCAGGCACCCCCGAGTTCCACTAAAGTCCTGTTGCCTTGTTGTTTGTTGAAACAGGGGGGCACCCGCCTCGTGTCTTGAAAAGCGGGAACACCTCTTTCGTACAGCAGAGAAGCCCACCTGGGCTGTTGTGGGGGAAGCGCAAGGACAAGGAAAAAGGGTGCCAGGTTCGAAACCGATCACAGCACGATCAGACCAAGGAGTCGCAGCTTCAATCCGTGACTTGGCCTCATGTCACTTCGCGTGATCATGGCGGCTTAGCAGCGGTCCTGCGTGTGCTCAGGTCCTACCGGAGATTCCCATTGTCAAATGTTGGATGCCACCGGCACTGTCACCGTCCGAGCTTTGTGCCGCGCACATTGTCCTAAACCTTCCCATTGTGGATGCTGTGCGGGCTGCATGCGAGCGAACTGGACCTTTCAGCCACGCAAAGACCGCCGAGGCAGAAAGGGGAGCTAGAAAAGTAGTTAGATGCAGTGCAAATTTGCTTGCGCCGCAATGAAAGACGGCTTGATTTTTGCATGAAGTGCCCTTCTTTACTTGCCCGACCATGCCCGACATGTCGGATTTGTCCCTTCGGGGAAGTCACATCTGTTTGTTTGCGAATGTGCTGTCGCGATCAAAACGTATTTGGTGGAAGTATGCTCGACGGTTTTCTGGAAGCTCTCGCGGTGGATCTGTGAACCTAAAGTCGCGAAACTTGTCATAAACATCTGGAATCATCTGGAAATCGCTGTTTGAACGAAGCAGAAAATGCTGTTCTCTCCTGACATGCGCAATTCAGGCCAGCAAAGGCTAGCGCTTTCGCCATAGGGCATGCCATGGGGGGCACGTGTACGTACGGACTTTGCATTCGTGCGAGGGTCCCGGTATGGCAGCGAGCCAAGAAACGCGCGCATCATGGGAGTCCCCGAAAGTATCGAAAGGTCCACTTAGGATATCGACGTTTGTAGAGCAAGCGGAGTGCAGGCCTCGTCTTTCGAGTACACCTGCCTACACATGGGCAGTGGCATTGGGGTAGAAACCGCTAGATCGGCAAATCCCATCCTTTATGACAGGAGACATGCGATTGGAGATACGCCACATCAAGCAAGTCGAAGTGTTTGTTGCACACGTACTCTTACGAGATCTTATGGTCACCCGATCGTGGCTGGACATTACAGTGCACATGCAATACGAGAATCTTGAACCAAGCGGGCAATTCTGCACAACGGATGCTTGTATATTTCTCGCTGTGTTCTTTTCCTGCCAGCTCCCTTCGTCTTAATGTCATCTAGGCATTCCGTCTGCTTCGGCTGTTTCCTGCAGAGCGGCATTTACATGCCATCATGTTCCAACTTGCTCCAAACCAATACAATCGAACCCTGTAGTTTGGCAAGGCCGCCGGCTCGCCCGAACTTCGCTTGCAGCAAAAAGCACGTGTTTGGCGGTGGAGCGATGGACGCGGCTATGTAGTCCATCCAGTCTACCTGGAAGGCAGGCGGCAGGTGTGCAACGAGGCATTCTTGGGGACTTTCTGTACGGTGCCTACCTGTGTCGGTGTCTGCCTCGTCCGTTGCATTTGGTCAGGTTTGCTTCACCCGCGCTTTGCTGCACTTGGCCGGCCACGGTCTGTCGAAGACGGACGTGGAAGTGCCAAAGCTGCTGCTTAGCCTTCATAAGTTTGCGATGCCTTTGCTTCATGTCTATGAGCATGCTTGTGAATGTCCACTGCAAGGTCATCGCAGCATTTCTCCGTAGTAGAGATGCAAGACTTCTGCCGCTTTCTCCAAGATGGATCCAGGGAAGGGACTTTAGTGCGTCGATCCCTGGCGAGCTTCTTGGACTGAGAAACCCACAAGGCAAGTACGTGTGCAGAAAACATGTGCCTTGAGTGCCTGATGTCAGGTTTGGAGGTCTTTCACGGTGATGGCTTCTCTTTGCAAGCCGAGCTATGCGACAGTTTTGATGACCTGAGTCTTGTCGATATGGTGTCGGTGCAGCGAACCGTCGGCGCCTCTTCGACCACAGCTGAGGAACCGAGACTGGATCTCCTCCTCAACACTGGCCGCCCTTGAAGGCAAAAATGTCAGCATGTTGTGCTGAACAGGTATTCTTCATCCTTACCCTGCCTCGTGACTGGTTCGGCCATGCAGCAGGCAAAATGAGCCCAAGTTAAGGGAATTCCATCAAACGATGAAAAACGACATACATGTATGCATGCATGCATGCATGTATGTATGTATGTATGTATGTATGTATGCATGCATGTATGTATGCATGCATGCATGCATGGATGAATGTATGTATGTATGTAT